ATTTGGCAAAATGCCGATTTCAGATGAACCGACAAAAACTACGAATAACTACGAGTTGTAGACAATGGGAATTCTTCGGCGAATCGACGAACGAATGCAGTATGACGTCATTTCATTGACGTCACAATAAAAGTCAAATTGATGCCAAAAACAACAACGGCCACGAGGATGTTTATAAACAAACAATACTAAAACAAGAAAAACGAAAAAAACAAATGCTCTCAATACACCTCTTGCCTGGTAAATATATAAACAACAGCGAAATGGAAACGAACACGAGTTTATGTGAAACGCCAGCAACGAGAAGGATATTAACAGCACATAAACTTTTTTGAGGGGCACTGTGAACGGTTAACAAAAAAAAAAAAACCAAACTGAATTGGGTATATGTATTGCCATAGGGGACACCATGTTGTTGTGTTTTTCACGAAAGAAGAGGGGCTAAAAAAAACTAGGTTAAACTAAACTACAAAATATTAAATATTTATGAGCTGCTAAACTATGACACACAAAACGTTTATATACTGCGCCATCGCTAAGTACTACGGCCCAGGAGCATCACAAACTGAGTAGAACACGAAGAAGATGGAGAAGAAAAAAAATATATAACAACAACACCAACAATGTAGACAACAACATCATCATCAACAACCAAGAACATAATTCCTAATAGTGACATCTCCTTCGCTTCAGGTGTAGTGGAATCTACGCTAGGCAATAATTTGCAATGCTAAATGCACATTTTGAAAATTATTATTTGGCATTCTCCCCCATGGAAAGCCATGAAGTACTTCAAAAAATAGGGGAGAAAAGGAGAGTATTATTCTCTTCAATTTAAATGCTATACTGGTGAAGTTATTCCATATTATGACCTTGGAATATGGTGAATAATATACCTAATATACCTATAATATAGGCTGGTGAATAATATACCTAAAATCAAGTAATCAAGACCTTAATTTCTAAATTTTCCATCCTGTCGAGTACATTTTTAATCACTTTATTTGGTTGCGACCATTCTGTGGGAATTATATCATTGTAAATTGTCTGCTACTAACAAGTGGTTTAAGAAGGAGTTTTTAACAAGAGGTGTCAGAAAAGTTACCGCAGAGATAACTGGCTTGTGGCGGCTAAGTGTTCATTAGCGACGTCGCTTTTTGATCCTTCGATGTCGGCTCTTCCTATTATTGTGAAGCAAAATTCAACAAGCGTTAGATTGTTCACTCATGCAAGGGAACATGAGCTGGATTTAGACCGTCGTGAGACAGGTTTTAACCTAATAATGACAATTTGTTGTTTCGACAGCATTCCTGCCTAGTACGAGTGGAACCGCAGATACGGACCTATGGCACAATACTTGTTCGAGCGAACAGTGGTATGACGCTACGTCCGTTGGATTATGCCTGAACGCCTCTAAGGTCATATCCGAGCTGGACTACAATGATAAATATGGGATAATTGCATTGTATGGCTCTTAAACCATTTAAAGTTTATTACTGATAAACGACAATGGATGTGATGTCAATGCTATTTTTAATATAGCAATTGTATGAGGATACTATCACCTGCATGCCGCGCTAGTTACTTATATAAACATTATTTAAGACAATGCCTAGAATCAATTGTAACGACTTTATTTACGGGCAAGGTGTTGTAAGTGGTAGACCAGCTGCCATACTGGGATCCACTGAAACCTCTCTTCTGCTTGATGATTCGATATTTATATCGTTTCTTAATGTGATATTCCCTTAATTTGGAATAAAAAACAAGAGAATATAAAAACCAAACTACATAGATTGGTCTTATTCATATTGATATTATAATGATAACAATTTTCATTGTTGTCTTTATAGTGTTAAATATTAAAAGACTTTTATTGTGTTGACCCACATTCCAAATTTTAGGTTTCCAGCTCTCCCTGTTACCAAAATCCAAATTGTTACAAATTTGGTGAATTTTGTACTATTCGTACACATAAATTCGATCTTCCAAAGCTGTATCCATAGCTCAATTCTACACTTAATTCCACTTACATTTCAAATTTCAGGATTCCAACTCTATCTGTTCACTCAAACTGCACCAAAGTTCAAATTGCAAAAAATTTAGTTCATTTCGTACCCATAAGTCCGAATTTCCAAAACTGTCTCAATAAGAATTTTATGTCAACATTTAAGGATTTCAGCTCACAAAAATCCAAATTCTGCCATATTTAGTACCATTTAGTAATATTCGTACTTAAAAGCATTTCCAACACAAACTCAATACTCGTACTAGTATTCCATTTCAATCCGTTCACTCAAATCTAAATTGTACCAAACCATTTGTACATATATTAGTACCCCATTTAGTACACAGAATTATGAATTTTCAAAACTACATCCATGTCACAATCCTAAACTCCAACTGTAATTTTAAATCCAAATTTTAGGATTCCCGTTCACACAAAGCAAGTTCTGCCATATTAAGTACCATTTAGTGTTTTTCGTATCCATAAGTACGAAATTCCAATACTACCTTAATATTGTAATTTTAATTTCAAATTTAAGTCTTCTATTTCTATCTGTACTATACTTCCATATCTCAATTCTACATTCCAACAGCTACCATTATTTCAAATTTTAGGTTTCCAGCCCTCTCCTTTCACCCAAATCTGAATTCTACCAAATCTAGTGCCGTTTAGTACTTTTCGTACAAGTAAATACAAACTTCCAAAGCTGTCTATACAACTCAATCCTCTGCAGTAATATTAATTCCAAATTTTAGGTTTTAAGCTCTATCCGTTCTTCCTTAAGAGGTTTTTGAGGGTTTTATTCTACAGAGGCTTTTCTAAATTACTTATAAAAGGAATTTTTGGTACGGAGATGTGCTATACTATGAGAACCCAAAATAATGAGTTTCCGCCAATTCGGTTGGAAAATCTGTCCAAAATTTTTAAAGTACCGAGTATTGGGGAGTACCGTTATGTGGGGACTACACCAAAACGTGGATCGATATATGCAATCGGCAATACAAAACATACTGGGAGTACTGTCTGTACAAAATTTCAGAGCTCAACAGACGGACATGTGTATGCTAGTAAGCAGCATGCGCAAAAAATCGTTCGCGAATGATTCAAAATACGCTCTTTTCGTTTGAGTTTTTTACCGAATTTATTGCGATAAATTCCAAACGAGCATTCGCCAAACGAATGTTCGCACACACATATAAGAAACGAATGAGAGCACACAATAACGATCGTTGGTTTGGTGATTGAAATTCTTTCCGACATTCGCTCACGAATGGAAACGAACATTCGCGAATGCTCAAATCAGCAGAAGTTCGTGAACTGAATAGTTGTTGGTCATGCAGTTTGTTATTCCACAAAGACTTAAAACTTTCTGTATGTCATTCGCTATGCGTTTTCATTCTTATACCCTTCACAACACTGTGGTACAGGGTATCGAGATAGACCCATGGTTTATTTTGAGAATATGCATAGAATCACTTTCTAAATCGATTTACGCATGCCGTCCATCAGTCTGTTTGTCCATGTATTTTTGTGAACAAAGCACAGGCCGCATTTATGATCCGATTTGGATGCAATTTGGCACATGTCACTTATTTTGCCCTAAGACGAACCCTATTGAAATTGGAGAAAATCGGTTTAGATTTAGATATAGCTCCCATATATAGTTTCGTCCGATTTTATGTAAATGGAGCTCCAATATTTGTCCGATTGAGACGAAATTTTGCACAGAGTATTGATTTAGGCCCAGATTGATGTATGCGAAGTTTTGTTGGAATCGGTTCAGGTTTAGATATAGCTCCAATATATATTTTCGTCCCATTTTATATAAATGGAGCACCAAGATTTTATTTAAATGGAGCCCCAAAGAGTAAATGTAGGCAGATTGAGAAAAAAATTTACGCAGCGTAGTGAATTAGGTCAAAATTTATGCATTCGAAGTTTTGTTGATTTAATGTAAATGGAGCACCAAAGAGTAAATGTAGGCCGATTGAGAAAAAAAAAAATTGAGCAGCGTAGTGAATTAGGTCAAAATTTATGTATTGAAAGTTTTGTCGAAATCGGTTGAGATTTAGATATAGCTCCCATATATAGGTTCGTCCGATTTTATTTGAATGGTGCGCCAAACTTCCAATATTTGTCCCATTGAGACAAAATTTTGCACAGAGTACTGAATTAGGTCTAGATTGATGCATGCCAAGTTTTGTTGAAATCTGTTCAGATGTCGTCATATATAGTTTCGTCATAATTTATGTAAATGAAGCACCATACAGCCCATATTGGTCCGATTGAGACAAAATTTTGCACAGAGTATTCGATTAGGCACTTATTGATGTATGCGAAATTTTGTTGAAATCGATTCAGATTTAGATATAGCTCCCATAAGTTTCGTCGGATTTAATGTAAATGAAGCACCAAAGAGTCAAATTTAGGCCGATTGGCACAAAATTTAGCACAGCGTACTCAATTAGGTCCAAATTTATGTATGCGAAGTTTTGTTGAAATCTGTTCAGATTTAGATATAGCTCCCAAATATATCGATGTTTGTTCGATTAAGAGAAAATTTTGCACAGCGTACTGAATTAGGCCCAGATTGATACATGTCAAGTTTTGTATTCGATTTTGTGTCGAGATAAATTTTGGATAGGGCACTGTGGCAGCATAGATGGATGCCACGGTTACTCAAATACGTCCATTTATATACAGATATTTTACATATTTTTCCCGATGATTGACATTCAATTTTTCATAAATTTCAGATTGGTACCGAAAGTGGTGAAGGGTATCATATAGTCGGCCCCGTCCGACTTTTTAGTTTTGTGGACTCCCAAAATATTTTGTGTGCAATGAAGATATTCTAATATAAATAACCCCCTGAGATTATTTAATATATAAAATATATGGTAGGTCAATTTTAGTGTGAATTTTAGATTTTTATATTAACTTACACTACTTATATAATAAATCTGAATAGTACACATCTTTCTAAACTTACCTCTCCTGTACACATGTTGCTGGCAGTCGTGTTGCATCTAGGACACCGTGCCACGGTTCTGCAGGTACAGGTTTGCGAAAGCGTAATTCATCAACCGGTGGCTTGGCATACGGTATACCGGTAAAGACGTGTACATCACGGCCCTGTACTGTAACCGAACGACCGCGTACCGGCCCACTGGTCGTCTGCACCGTTAGATGATCTGTCATCGCTAACGTTAGCGCTGACATGCGCAGCAGTATAACGAGTGTGGCAAAAAGACCGCGACAAACAACGGCATTGTTACGAGCGGCGGTGGCTAGTGAACTGCGGGAAGAGGGGCGGGATAAGGAAGATGTGAACGATAATGATAATAACGAGTGTAAAGACGACGGTGACGCGCACGATAATGATCGCGACGACGACGACGATGTTGTTGGCGTTCTTACAGATCGAGCCATAATAAGACTAAACGCGCCACTGCTGCGATAACGAACGCGTTTAAATGTCAATTAATTGAGTTGTTGTTGTTGTTCTTCTTCTTTCACAAGATTTGAGCACAATTTGTTTTGGTTTTAGGTAGCTTTAGGCTTTACATTGATTATTCGGAATTTCTTTTTTCAATTGATATTCAAAGGTTCAAACGCCCAAATGTTTACTGCACTTAACACAAACTTTCCGATATGCCTTGAATTGGATTTTGAGTGTTCAAACGGTAAGTGGTTATACAAAAACACTTGTTTATTATTGTTGTTGTTGCTGCTGCTGTTGTGGATCGGGTTAAAATCAAAAGTTTTGCCTTGGTTCTTGTGGTACAACCAGTCGTAAATGGAGACTTGCTGGTAGATTTGTGGGGGATCTAGTGGGCTGACGTTAACAAAGACAACGTCGACGACGACTATGCTGAGGGTTCGTTGAAAAATCCTCGTTATCCTTGGCTCATAACCAACAGCTGTTGATTGTTGTGGCTGCTGTTAGTGCTTGTGACCTCAAAGTGTGTGGGTGAGTGAGTACGCGACCACAAACAATGCTATTTTATTATGTTTATTCTTCTGCCTACTCTGGGGCTGGCTTTCTGGCTTTCTAATGCAGACACACACGTAGAATAGACTTTGCAAACGACGATAGGCTGGCTGATGTTGTACAACAAAACTACATGCTTAGGATAATGGTATGAGTTTATTGATGTTGCTTCTGCTACTAACGTTTCCTAGCGCCCGAGAAGTTATAAGCTGCAAATCCCCCTGTCACTGCTGTAGTCTGTTTAAACTGTTTATTAACTGTTCTACATTTGCTACTTATACACGTCCGCATTGGTTTGTAATGTTCGCTGTTTTATTTTTCAGTTTAGCCCACAATTCTTAAAAAAACGGTTCTCAGAATATGTTTACGTTTAAATATATCCTCCTCCTCTCAAAACCAAGTACTTTGTGTTTATCCGCTTTCTCGTTAAACGCACTTTACTTAAATGTTATACTCCTCCGCCTCCTCGAAGTCTTTAGTGTTGTGGGGAAATTGTTTTCTATTTATTCCGCTAACGTTGTCCTTGTCCGGTATCTGCAAAAAAACGAAAAGAGAGAGAGAGAGGGGAAGAGTGTGAGTGAGTGGATGAGTTTTAAAGCAAAAAAATAATAAATTTGCTATTTCATTAGGAAGAAGGTTGAAAGTGAGCTACTTTGTGTATTTGTAAGTAGCCACACTCGCAAAGCTTTGAAAAACAAATCATAATAAATAAGTGAGAGTGTTATAAAGTATAAACTTTTCGTACTAATGCTCCTGTTTTAATGGTCCATTAAGTGCACTCTGACACAGAAAGAAACACAGGGGTCAATTGGTTGTTGTTAATAAATCCACGCCTCAGTTGGCCCTTGAAAAATATTCTTTAATAAATCCACGCCTCAGTTGGCCCTTGAAAAATATTCTTTAATAAATCCACGCCTCAGTTGGCCCTTGAAAAATATTCTTTAATAAATCCACGCCTCAGTTGGCCCTTGAAAAAATATTCTTTAATAAATCCACGCCTCAGTTGGCCCTTGAAAAATATTCTTTAATAAATCCACGCCTCAGTTGGCCCTTGAAAAATATTCTTTAATAAATCCACGCCTCAGTTGGCCCTTGAAAAATATTCTTTAATAAATCCACGCCTCAGTTGGCCCTTGAAAAATATTCTTTAATAAATCCACGCCTCAGTTGGCCCTTGAAAAATATTCTTTAATAAATCCACGCCTCAGTTGGCCCTTGAAAAATATTCTTTAATAAATCCACGCCTCAGTTGGCCCTTGAAAAATATTCTTTAATAAATCCACGCCTCAGTTGGCCCTTGAAAAATATTCTTTAATAAATCCACGCCTCAGTTGGCCCTTGAAAAATATTCTTTAATAAATCCACGCCTCAGTTGGCCCTTGAAAAATATTCTTTAATAAATCCACGCCTCAGTTGGCCCTTGAAAAATATTCTTTAATAAATCCACGCCTCAGTTGGCCCTTGAAAAATAATAAATCCACGCCTCAGTTGGCCCTTGAAAAATATTCTTTAATAAATCCACGCCTCAGTTGGCCCTTGAAAAATATTCTTTAATAAATCCACGCCTCAGTTGGCCCTTGAAAAATATTCTTTAATAAATCCACGCCTCAGTTGGCCCTTGAAAAATATTCTTTAATAAATCCACGCCTCAGTTGGCCCTTGAAAAATATTCTTTAATAAATCCACGCCTCAGTTGGCCCTTGAAAAATATTCTTTAATAAATCCACGCCTCAGTTGGCCCTTGAAAAATATTCTTTAATAAATCCACGCCTCAGTTGGCCCTTGAAAAATATTCTTTAATAAATCCACGCCTCAGTTGGCCCTTGAAAAATATTCTTTAATAAATCCACGCCTCAGTTGGCCCTTGAAAAATATTCTTTAATAAATCCACGCCTCAGTTGGCCCTTGAAAAATATTCTTTAATAAATCCACGCCTCAGTTGGCCCTTGAAAAATATTCTTTAATAAATCCACGCCTCAGTTGGCCCTTGAAAAATATTCTTTAATAAATCCACGCCTCTGCCTCAGTTGGCCCTTGAAAAATATTCTTTAATAAATCCACGCCTCAGTTGGCCCTTGAAAAATATTCTTTAATAAATCCACGCCTCAGTTGGCCCTTGAAAAATATTCTTTAATAAATCCACGCCTCAGTTGGCCCTTGAAAAATATTCTTTAATAAATCCACGCCTCAGTTGGCCCTTGAAAAATATTCTTTAATAAATCCACGCCTCAGTTGGCCCTTGAAAAATATTCTTTAATAAATCCACGCCTCAGTTGGCCCTTGAAAAATATTCTTTAATAAATCCACGCCTCAGTTGGCCCTTGAAAAATATTCTTTAATAAATCCACGCCTCAGTTGGCCCTTGAAAAATATTCTTTAATAAATCCACGCCTCAGTTGGCCCTTGAAAAATATTCTTTAATAAATCCACGCCTCAGTTGGCCCTTGAAAAATATTCTTTAATAAATCCACGCCTCAGTTGGCCCTTGAAAAATATTCTTTAATAAATCCACGCCTCAGTTGGCCCTTGAAAAATATTCTTTAATAAATCCACGCCTCAGTTGGCCCTTGAAAAATATTCTTTAATAAATCCACGCCTCAGTTGGCCCTTGAAAAATATTCTTTAATAAATCCACGCCTCAGTTGGCCCTTGAAAAATATTCTTTAATAAATCCACGCCTCAGTTGGCCCTTGAAAAATATTCTTTAATAAATCCACGCCTCAGTTGGCCCTTGAAAAATATTCTTTAATAAATCCACGCCTCAGTTGGCCCTTGAAAAATATTCTTTAATAAATCCACGCCTCAGTTGGCCCTTGAAAAATATTCTTTAATAAATCCACGCCTCAGTTGGCCCTTGAAAAATATTCTTTAATAAATCCACGCCTCAGTTGGCCCTTGAAAAATATTCTTTAATAAATCCACGCCTCAGTTGGCCCTTGAAAAATATTCTTTAATAAATCCTCAGTTGGCCTCAGTTGAAATCCACGCTTTCAGTTGGCCCTTGAAAAATAAATCCAAAATATTCACCTCAGTTGGCCCTTGAAAAATATTCTTTAATAAATCCACGCCTCAGTTGGCCCTTGAAAAATATTCTTTAATAAATCCACGCCTCAGTTGGCCCTTGAAAAATATTCTTTAATAAATCCACGCCTCAGTTGGCCCTTGAAAAATATTCTTTAATAAATCCACGCCTCAGTTGGCCCTTGAAAAATATTCTTTAATAAATCCACGCCTCAGTTGGCCCTTGAAAAATATTCTTTAATAAATCCACGCCTCAGTTGGCCCTTGAAAAATATTCTTTAATAAATCCACGCCTCAGTTGGCCCTTGAAAAATATTCTTTAATAAATCCACGCCTCAGTTGGCCCTTGAAAAATATTCTTTAATAAATCCACGCCTCAGTTGGCCCTTGAAAAATATTCTTTAATAAATCCACGCCTCAGTTGGCCCTTGAAAAATATTCTTTAATAAATCCACCTCAGTTGGCCCTTGAAAAATATTCTTTAATAAATCCACGCCTCAGTTGGCCCTTGAAAAATATTCTTTAATAAATCCACGCCTCAGTTGGCCCTTGAAAAATATTCTTTAATAAATCCACGCCTCAGTTGGCCCTTGAAAAATATTCTTTAATAAATCCACGCCTCAGTTGGCCCTTGAAAAATATTCTTTAATAATTACATTTAAGATAGAGCTCTGGAATTTTGCACAAACATTGCTAGGATGTCTGGTATTACAAATGGTATATATCGGTCCACGATATTGTGTAACCCCAAATATTCGGTATTTTGGCGATTTTGACCACGTTTTCCAACCAACGGGACTATACGTGGTATTTTGGATTCTTATTGAATAGCACATTTCCGCACAAAAAGAAATGTTTTATATTGACCCAAGTTTCAGGGTAGCCCCCTATAACGGTACCCCCAACACTCGGTATTTTGAGTATTTCGGACAGTTTTTCCAATTGAATTGGCTGTAATATGTTATTTAGGGTTATCATTAAATAACATATATCTGTATCCGTACCAAATATTCACACAAGTTTCAAGGTATCCCCATACAATGGTACTTTGGGGATTATGGACACGTTTTTCCACCGAATTGACTGTAATTTGGTATTTACACCCTCAGCCTTATGGCTAATGAGGGTAAATACATTTTGATACGGTGAAAAAGTACCTCATCGAAATATTGGTGTTAGACCCCATTTTCTTTGGAATAAATCCGTTTCAGACAATTTGGAGTCGATTTACATATGTCCGTCCGTCCGTACGTTGTCCGTCTGTATGGCTTGATGGTGCGCACGATAAGTCTCGAAGGGAATAATCGATTTCATCCAAACATTGCACAGCTAATGGAATGTTAATGTAACTTTGTACGACCTATTATCTTTACCACGCCTAGATCTAGTAGGAAGTTGGGATCCATTGATCAACTGCTTTTAGTACTCACAAATGGTCAAACTTTTCAATAGTTGT